CACACACACACACACACACACACACACACACACACACACACACACACAGCTGCGGTTGTTGCTTGCAACTGTCGCTGCAAGTTATGGAGGAACTGTTGTTGCACTCGCTGCTGCAACTTGCAAGTGTTACAGCAACACAACTGCAACAAAAGTTACTCACATCGATGGTCTGCCGCATACATGACAGCTACACTGCCTTAGCACGTGGCAGACCTACTGACATCAGAGGCCCCTGTGGTGAAAGATCTGCCATGACCTGCATAGATTGAAAAAAGATGTGCAAATGGGTTGGTTGTCATAATCACAGATTGATTGACTGATGGATCGGTTAATGTAAATTAGTTGATTGGTTGATTGAGTGGCTTGGTGGATTGATGGCTTGGCCCAACGATCGAAACAGAACTACCAAACCACCAATCCCAATATCTGATTATACAGTTAAGCTAGGCTATAAAATGTTGTTAAGAGCAAAGGACCCAGACCTAATCATCACAGGATGATGGCACAAGTTAATTGGTTATGAGGCAGACCCGGTAGCAAAAATTCCATGGAAGAAATATAAAACAATAAGACCCATACAAATAAGAAGCATGCAGTGGCTCATAACGTACGTTGCTCTACCGGTTAACCAGTGGTTACATGTTAGAAGAAGAAAGAAGGATCCAACCAACACTGGTGTCTGCACACTGTGTGCACAATCTGCTTAGACCAAGAGCAGGAAGATTTGATACACAACCTAATTAACTGCAAAAGAAGCCACATATTATTGGGCAAGAGCAGCAGCCCTATGGGATACTCTATTCTCGTCTCCCCTCGCAGAACACCCCCTTCAACTGCTCCTCTGGACTAACTTACCCTCTAACTTTGACAAGTCGGAGAAAATCTGGTTCGGTATGGTACTCAAGGTTACGCTCTGGGCAATATGGAAAGAGAGATGCAGCAGAACTTTGGATGGCACGGAGAATCCACGGGAGAAAGTGTGGGAAACAACAAAAGAGATGATTGAAGCGAAAATCCTGTGTCATTGGAGGAAGGTCAAACCGTGGATGCAAAACAGTCCGGAGACAAAACAGGTGACACTTGCCAAATTCAAACGGGTCTGGTTGGTAGGTGGCTGAAAAGCCTTCCACGATTCAGACCCCAAATTTGGGGCACAGGGTCAGAGGCCCTGGTCAAGAAAGGCCGAATTCGTCAAATTCAGAAAAGTCACAGTCAGGTACCTCAGCAGTCCAGTCCAACAGGTACCCAGT